CCGTGCTTCATCATGATGCTGCCACCGCCGTGCTTCATCATGATGCTGCCACCGCCGTGCTTCATCATGATGCTGCCACCACCGTGCTTCACATTGTGATGTTGATTCCAGATTCATACAGATAAAAGCACAGGAGAAATGCCACAGTTCACTGAACATTAGTGAAGTTTGTTGGCGGCTCCCCGGCCTAAGTCGGGCGGTGGAGGTATGTGGAGATGGGTGTAATTGGTGGCAGAGGGCAGGGGAGAGAGGTGTGGGGCAGAGCTCAGGAGATTAGTGTCAGGTGAGTTGATGGGTCCAGGTGCTGCTGCTCTGGCTAATTGTGGATATGCTTGTGCACATAGTAGGGTGCTGGTGGGAGAGGAGAAGAGGGAGGCCAAGGAGGAGGGTCTCTGGCTGGTTGGTGAGACAGAAGACAGGAGAGCGCGTGCTGCAGGAGCCGCTTTGTGTTGTTTCTATTGTTTTGTGCCGGGTTTGCGCCGTACGGCCAATAAGGACTGTGGACCGGCAGCGATTCGTGTGTCTGTGCTGGGGGGGGAACAAATAACCACATTTATCCCAACCAGTCCTCCCTGTTGTGTTACCACACCACTAATGCCATCAGCAGTGGGTTCAGTTTCTGACCAGGCACCATATTTCTGATCTGTTTCTACTGCCGTTCAGAGATTTCAAAATTCCACACACAACTCAAACAGCACAAACACAGAGTCTTGCACAGATAAACTCAGCGCTCTGCGTGTTTGTCTCTGCTTTCTGTCCCTTTCTAAGCCTGCGACATGAATGTGCACAAGCAGTGTGTGGTCAACGTGCCGAGCCTGTGTGGAACCGACCACACGGAGCGCAGAGGTCGCCTCTTCCTGAAGATCGAGGTCAGCGGCGACCGGCTACACGTCACAGGTCGGTTTCAAGTCTTTATCTGCGAATCACTTTGTCTGCAGAAAGCGACTCAACCTCAGAGTGGCTCCATGTTGTGAGTGTGAAACCGCTGAAAGGATTCTTCACTTTGCTTATGTTTATTGCTTGAGTCATTCACACTTGTGTTGATGAACTATTCAGTGAAATGTTGTATTTTCTCCCTGTGTGGGAGCACCGCTGTAGCCGCACATTTATTAACCCTGAAACCAGCAAGTTTTTCTGTTTCTGTTGCCTCATTTTTCAAAAATATAAAGTCCTGCACCTCTATGGAAACAGAACAACTGTGAAGAAGATAGAAAATCATAGAAGAAAATCATAATGTCGTAAAATCTAAATAAAACATGAACAACCCTACTTCACCATGCTGACCGTATCTACGCACAGCTTCATCATCGCTGGTTTGTTTTTGAACCATGCTGCATTAGTTTATCAATCAAGAATGTTTTATTTTGTTCACAATCTCTCTAAGTAGTTTCAGTTTGTATTTCTGTTTCAGTCACTCATGGCTTTTTGGTTGTGCAGACAAATACAGATTTTTTGGTTTTTTTGCTTTTTGTGGAATCAGTTTAGTGCAAACTGGTTTTGTCAAAATTTTAAATGCAGAAAAGGGATTTTGATGAAGAATCATGATTATAAGCTTGGATTGGGTCTATTTTGTGTCATGTGTGATTGTTGAAGTACAGTGGGAAACATTGACGATTCTTTGTGTTTTTACTGTTTGTGGCTCTGATTAAGTGCCAGCGTATCAATAAAACATGCTTTCAAAGCTGCCGGCGGGTTTTGAGGTTTGCACGGTTAATTGTGGTCACTGAGAGAGACTGAAGCAACACTTTATGACAACATTATGTTATAGTAAAGGGGTCTTTGTTTGAATTACTGCAGCCACAGCATCACATTAGGGCTGGGCAGTACGGCTAGTTTGGCACAGCTTGGGTCCACTCGTCCCCTTCATGGAAAAGCTCAGTGCAGATCAATACAAAGTCCTTTTTTTTCTTGTGATGAAACACACACGTGCTCGCTGATCGGTGTAAACATGATTTGAATCTTATGATTATGATTCATCCCTTCAGTGAAGTTCCTCAGATTTACAGAAACAACTCAAAGATGCACTGAAGCCACTGTTGCAGCACATCATGCTGTTTTTTCTCCTTTGTTTGTCCCTCATCTGTATTTGTAGTGAATCTGTTCAACAGGCGCAAAGTCCATTTGGTTCCAGACTTCTGGCAGTTTTCATTGCTGCAAGTGACACAAAGAGAATTTTTCTCACACAGAACTGTGATAAACTAAACAGTGTTTGTATCCCCTGAGAGGATTTTTGGTCGTGCTGCAGGCTGGTCCTGAACCTGCTGACTCGCTCTTATTTTCTGGTCATGTGTGCAGAGTTGGCAGGAAGTCAGCTGGAGGGACACTGTGCATGCCAAATGCTTCCAAAACCTCCTTTTCTTTCTTTTTTTTTTTTTTTTTCAAAGCACACGGTGCAGCTCTGACAGGAATACATCGGGCAGTTCGGTCCAACAGACCTTTTCATGGCTGAAGTTTGACTTGTCACAGGTTAAATTCTTTCCATTAAGTGTCCCAGTAAGCCACCACAGCAAACCATTGTGCAGATCGCTAGAAAATTGGGGAGCAGAAAATTTAAGAAGAACCATTTTATAGCAGCAGAAAGTTTCATCTGAAACAGCCTGAAATCAAAAACCTCTTCTGAACTTCTGACTCTGTAACTAAAACAATGAAGCGTGCGTCCTGATCAGCAGAACGATGAAGTGATGCCTGCCTTCGTAGCCGCTGTGTGCCTGTCTGTGAGTTTTCTACACCTCCAAATTATCCTGTCAGTCACGAGCAGCACCTGGAGTGGAGATCCCTCTGGTGTTAAAACCCCTTTGGCAGGGAGAGAAACGACTGCTGGGTCAAATCCACGGCCTCTCACTGACACAACAGCTCGGCGAGGCGGCGGCGGCGGCGGCGGCGGTCAGGGAATACGATTGCTGAGGCCAGTGAATAGTTTCTAACCCGGCGGGGAACATGCAGGAGTAACCTCCCGCTCCAGCAGGATGTGATTGACTTGGAAATATATTGCTTTCATAAAAATGTGCTTGTTTGTGTACAGGCTTGGAGCAGAGAACGCCGTGTTCACTCTCACATTGACTGTTTGCTTTTCAGTTGATGATCTCGCTGCGCTGCACATCCAGGCTTTTTGTCTGTTTTCCTGCTCAGCACCCTTTGATCCGCTGCACCACGCTGACAGCTTCATGTCCTCTTTTATGTCCTCGCTTGCGTCTGTCTGTGAGTCTGACTGCGGCGTGATGGCGGCGACGAGCAAACGAGGCCGGCGATTAAGTGCGATGGCGGCGGCGCTGCTGACGCGATTTCTTCGGTCTTTGCAGATAAAGCTGAACGGACACAACTGAAAGCGAAGCGGCTCGCGTTCGCAGAGCACGTGGGAGAGGCAGCCAACTTTATCTGATGCGCTGTCTCTCTCTCCTCCTTCGTCGTAGCCTTCATTTTGTGCTCGCACGCTCAGCAACACCCGCCGGCACTCCAGCGGAGGTGTCGGTGCCACGTCGCACCGGGATGGTCCACCGTATGTTGTGCAGCACCTGCTGCAGACATATGTGCTGCCGGATATTTAAATCAACACAAACCCTGCACTTCTGTTTGTTTTCGTCATGAGGCTGCTCTGTCTGTCTTCCTCAGAGCTGTTTTCAGTCAAACACATTCCACATATCGTGTCGGTCTTTGACACGTCCAGGTCTGGAATCCACAGAATTGTGAGATGGACCCTCTGTGGATCCGACTTGTTTTTGCATCTCAGAGAAGCTCGATCAGATCGAGTTCTGGGGAAGTTGGAGGCCAAGTTAGCGTCTTAAACTCCTCGTTTAGGTTGGTGTTTCTAATCAAAGCACCTGGTCGTCCACACAAGGATGCTTCATCAGACCAGGCCACCTTCTTCCATCCAGTTCAGATGCTCATCATTGCAGGCCCTTAAAGTCAGGACAGGCACACTCAGCAATCTGCAGCTATGCAGCGTGTGTTCCAGGGTTCAGTTTGTCAGCTTCTTGTGCTACAGCTGCTCTTCTGTGGGGCCACCTGAGCCAGACTTTGCTGTCCTTGGACTCACTTTTGGTCGATGCTGGTCACTGCAGACCAGGACCTTGTGGGGATGCTCTGACTACATCAATGGCCATTTTTCCTGTTTCAAACTGCAAGAACTGACTTTCCACTTGCTGTCATGTGACAGGCGCCACCGTAATGGGATCATCCGTGTTTTTCACTTCAGCTGTCAGGAATTTTAATATTGTGGCTAAAAAAAGAGACTATTTGGCTCTTTTATTTTTTCTTGACAAACGGACTCACTTCTGCCTGTCGCTCACCTGCTAGCAGCGCCCGCCGACCGCTGGAGGCCGTTTGGGACTGAGTGTCTGTCCAAGGACACTTGGGAGGAGCTGCAGATGAGCGACCCGTGATTAGAGGCTGACCTGCTCGCCGCTTACTGTCCTCCTTGTTGTTCAAGTTGTTTTGAGCGGTGCTCTTAATCGCATCGGTTTTTGCTGGCATATTATATTAATGCGGGTCATTCTGCCAACAATGTATGTCAAAGCAAGTGTGTTTGTGTTGGAGTTGAAGCTGCAAATGTGACACAAAATAAAGACAGAAGCAAATCCGGTCTTTTCCTCTGAGGATAAGATGGTTGTTGGAGTTACTAGAGGGCTACAGCTTAAGGTTAAAGCTGACTCTGGACAGCTGACAGCTCAATATTCACCTTTTTGTTCGCTGTTTTGGTCTCCATTTGGCTCTTCAGCTGCTAAACGCTCCACAGCTACACGGAGCTCACTGGACTGGAAATAACCCTGAACCAGAACAGTGATGCTGCTTTGAGTGCAAGGAGACGGAAAGCGGAAGTGTTTTTCTTGCCTATGACTCTATAAATATGAATAAGCTGCTCGTTAGATTCCAGGATTCAGACGGAGTGGAGATGAAAATGTTGGGCGGTGACTGAAGGCTTTGTTTAGGAGGAAGGAGATAAGGATGGAGACTGAGTGCAGCGGTTTGTTTTGCTTTTATTTCCTCTCTAATGGCAGCGGTCTGAGCAGCGAAGCCTCAGCTTGTTCTCCGGCTCCCCTCTGGCTGCTGCAGACAAGTGGCAGGTCTTTGTGGTTCACCGCACCGACGTGAACTTGATTAAATCTTTCCAGCCAAGAAAACAGACACATCTCCCTGGGCTGCCTCTGTCTGAAACCCCCTCCTCTCCTCTACCTTCCCTCTATCCTTCCTCTCCATCCCTTCCTCCAATATTGACTTTGCTGTTATCTTCTTCTGCCTGTTCCTTCGAGACCTCGGCTCGCCTCACTTCCTCCTGTCATCCATTTTCCCTCGATACCTGCAGAGGTCCTGTCCGTTCACTCGTGTTCTGTTTTCCATTTTTATCCTCAGTAGGACATCAGCATCTGTCGTTTATCTTCCATCCTCTCATTTCAACCCAGAGAGCAGTCCTGTCCCTCCTCACTTCCTCGTTTCCTCCACCGAGGTTGAATTCTTTCTCTCGCGCTGTTTATTTCTTTTCTCCTCTGATTATCTCCCTCAACCCTCTTTTGCTCGTCTCCCCGATCGCTGTCTCTCAGAGCCAAAGTGACATAAATAGCCGGCAGACATGAGCAGACGTTTATTCTGGAGTTTTAAGGAAAGACGACCATGCTAACGTCCCTCCGTGACCTCCACGTGTGGTATGCAGATGCACAGAGCATGTGAGGATCGCGGTTTATTCAGGGTGAGATTTCCTACTGCTGACACACTCGCCTCAGGTTTAAAGCTCGGCTGAACACAATTTGTCCTGCGCGGACACAACTCGTATCAGCATCAGGCCTGTAGAACAAAAAGACCTTTTGACAAAATAAAGCCGTCACCGTGTGTGTTGTCTCTGGGTCTGTCTGACAGATAAATGAACCCAAACAAGGAGTTTAACATGCACATCAGTATTACTTCAC